ATAAATATAATTACTTAACTAATATTCAAAATAATCATGTTTTATATTATTACTTTTGTGTCCTTTATTACTTACTTTAAATTATTACTTTTCCCTTGAGGAAAAGAGAGGGGTCTTCACCTATCAATTACCTTGTAAACTCACTGGATAATCAGGATTTAGGGCAAACCACCAGGGAACAGAGGAGGGTTCCATTAAGAAAGACAAGAGAACAGCTACTATCCTCAGAAAAACAATGACTTGTGGATAATGGAGATACAATGCCCAATGTATTCTATATTAGCATGATGTAAACATTTTAGGCAATGAGAAATTAAACATCTAGACACAGTACAGTCTATAAAACCAGAGCCTCTGACTGTATTCTGTTAGACAGAGCACATAAACTAATAGAAGGATAGATAATCCATCTGATTTATACTCTGGTATATCATATTTCACAACATTTGGGAATAACACACCAAGTATAACCCTTACAATAGAAATCACAAAGAAAATACACAAGTACTAGGAATATTATTGAGCCTGAAACTAGCAGGATGAATAATGGTCCAAAAGGTCAGATTAGTAACATTTCTGGATGACTTCAAAAGGTAATGAAGCCAACACATTTTTTAAGAACGGGGGCTTGAGTTTTAAAAGAAAAGTCAGAGCAAGTCAATGTGTAAGAGAAAAGACTGCAGGAAAGAGGGAAGCCAATCCCTTCCCATTCAAAACATGCATAAACTGATAATTAAGAATTGGCTGGAATCCATTTTAATATTAAATTCTTGAAAGTAAGACTACCGTTTGGTAGAAATGGTAGCAATTAAAACTTCATCACTAAAAAATCACATTAAATCAAATTAAAAGGAGTTAAATCAGAGCAACCATTTACTTTATTTCCCTGAAAGTTATTCTTTCTTTCTTTTTTTTTTTTTTAAAGACTTTATGTATTTATTTGAGAGAAAGAGAGAAAGATAGCCTGCCAGGAGGGAGCCCAACGCGAGACTCGATCCCAGGACCCTGAGATCATGACCTGAGCCAAAGGTAGATGCTTAACCACTGAGCCACCCAGGCACTCCCCTGAAAGTTTTCCTTAAATACGTCCTCTACAATATGCCCTATATACAGATTGCATATGCCCTGAAAGTGTGTGTGTGTGTGTGTGTGTGTATTCAACTACTGCTAACCTTCCAAAGATACTGTCTTTGTATTTTCTTGAAAATAGCACATTTTATCATTTTAAAGTACCACTGCTCTGTCAATAGGTTAAAAAATCACTAATGAAACGAATTTGCTGTGTTTGGGACATTGTTAAGAAGGCACAAAGGAATCATAAGCAAAACTACTCTCACACTGAGATTGTAAGAAGAAACTTTCTCCAAGGATGATGGTCTCCCCTGGTTGGGACATAGATCATCGTCTCTCTCTGGAATAAGAAAACACAGGGAATGAGGCATCATGGGCCTAGCCCACTCATCCAAAGGATGATGGAGGTTATATTACAGCAAGAACTCCTTCAAGATAATAGGCCACGTGCTTCTCTCCCTAAGAAGGTTCTGCTTGGGATGAGTGGACTAACCAGTCTGGAGAACGGAAACCATGTTAAACACTGAAATTGATGGTTTAAAATGTACTTAAATTTTAATGATGATATCCTGATTTGTGAAGACAGCATGGAGATACAATATTCATTTGTATCCTTTTGTTGTAAAATGTTCCACAACTGATCCACAAAAATGTATTAGATGTTTATTTTCTTAAGAAAAACATCCATATCTGTTTTCTCGCCCACAATTGACACAGAAGGGCAATTTTTCCCCCCTAAACACCCTAAGACAATTGTGCACTCATTGATCATCCTAGAACAGATCATTCAAGTCCTATTTCTGACAGCCGAGTTAAAGACACACCAACTCACAATGCAGGCATTATAGTGCAATTTCCTTATGATATAGCAAGACAGGATTTTTTTTTATTACATGCCCTTATGATTTCTTCTTGCTGATGTTAATAGTAAATGCTAAAATATTCTATGTAAGTATTTGTTGGGCTGGAAAAAGAAAGAAACTCTAATGCAAGTATTTATACCTTCTGCAATGAAAACAAGATTATTATTGCTTTGCGTGACCTTTCCTAAGTATGGGATACAGCACTTTACACAATAGTTTCTTGGTTCATGCTTCAATTACTGACCTTTACTGTGCAGAAAATTAATGCAATTTTCATTGTAATCCATCCGTACAAATAAGGTCCACATAGAAGAATTCCACATTTGGAATCTAATACAAATAGGAAATGTCATCTGATTGCTGTTGGCTGAACTTAGCCATTATCTGTTTGTCCAGGGGTCCCCAGAAAACTACACTTGTAACAAGCAATTTCTTGCATGGGCCATCAGGAATAAGAAAGAAAGATTTCCTCTCTTCAAAGTTTAGTTTGTACAGTTAGTTTCCTAAAAGCCAAAAAAGTAGTTACCGAAGGTTCTATGTTATAACTGAAAGTCCAGACACACACACACACACACACAGGCACACAACTGTGCAATCTAATTTGGCTTCTCATACCGGTCACCACCATGGACTTCTGACAATGAAAACGAGCAAGAGGCTACAGTGATATCATTTTACAACAATCCCCCTTCCAGACAATAAAAGTAAGACAGACCCCAGACCACATCCAGGTCTGTACATCAGAGACTTGCAGAATATACAGAATGCGTCTATCTCCCAAGGAAGCTGTGCCAGGGGGGCCCCTCATGTGCTTTCAACTTCCACAGTTGCCTGTGATGGTATTTGGTGGGAAGGGGTGCTGGCAATTAAGGAATGTCACTTTCAAAATGGATAGTTTGGATAGAAAGGAGTTTCCTCTCTTCTTCTGGTTTGGAAGGAAACGGCTGTGTGATTATAATTTGTAAACAGCCCATCGCTCACTGGGTGTGTTACAGTTCCCAGAGGCATGGTCTGTCATGTCTAACATGCACCAGAAGCCAGGAGGGTTCTGTGGGTAAGCCCTTCGGTATATCACAAGATGGAGGGCGGTGGCCCAGTGGCTGTGTGTGCAGGTCTATGACGAGCACGTCTCAGTCGTGGAGTCTGCTCTATGTGGAGAAGAAATGATGGACTGTAATATATATTGGGATGATGTGGGCTCCAGAGGTCTTAAAGTTGAAAATCCCTCTATACTTTACAAAATCTTTCAGAGATGTGAGATTGAAAACATATGAATAAGGACTACAAAGTTCACCAGTCTCCCTAACAGTAGAAGGGTTGCATTAAGCAGAAAGAGGTATAAATAGAAGTCAACATTTCATTTTAGATTTATTTCTCTGGATGATTTCATAGACCTGTAAAATTGAGGAAGCAAACAAACATGGCCATGCTGTGGCTGTTAAAGGCCCTATGAAAATACTACAATCGAAGTATCTCAAGAATGGAATTGCCCTGAGGGTAATGAGGAACATCCTGATGCCCATGCTCTGTGTGTAGCAGGTTTGGCACACCTGCCATGGGGAGGGCAATCCTTGGATAAACACAAGAGCTCCAAAGCTCTTCCATGTAGATGTTATGGCTCCAACTCAGTCATCCTTGCCCAGGAAGGCTTAAAGCCCAACTGGCTCTACTTCCAGACCCCCAGGCCCCCAGACAACCCTTGAGGCACCTCAGTAGAAGGTTGGCTTGTGACAATCACTGGTCTAGACTCCATGGCCCGAATTTCTTGTTTGCCAGGTCACACCACCTTTTCATTCATTTCCTTCTTGTTGGATGCTCTCCTTTATCAGATGGGCCAAAGACACACGGTCATAATGATCTCTAAAGGGCAGATGACGCCCTCTTCTATGGAGGGCTCATTTTAACAGACATAGCCAAACAGAAGAAAATCTTCCTCACTTCCAAGCCTTGGTACATAAAATTTAGCATTTTGCCCGGTAAAAGTTTAAAATAACTTCATCAATACTTGTGCTTCTTTTGGTAAAACATCCCATCATCATGCAGGTTAGCTTGGCTATGACTATTTTTCATACTCAAGGAGTTACATTACTCAGAAGCAACACACATCAATTCATCAAGAAGGAAGCTGCATCTGTGTGACCTTATTCTGGAAAGAGTCAATTCCATTTTTAAAAAAAAATATTATGCTTTATCTTATTATTTTGCTATTAATGATCATTTTAGCACAACAAATAAGATTCACTTTGTAATCCACCTAATTTGCTTCAAATGGGCAAAACCATCTGGCTCACTCAATTAATTTTAGGGCTGTGTGTGTCATGGAGCCAGGATTTTTTTTTTAATATGTTGTTATTTTATGGGCATTTTATATTGGATACTTAACTCTTAAGATCCCCCCTTTCACCTGTTTCCCCTCCTGCAAGCCTCCTAGACACAACCAGCACAAACCCCATACACCCACAGGTTCTAGGAGGCTGGAAGTCCATTAAGCTGGTAGCATCTCATTTGGCATTTCCATCTTTTTTTTTTTTTCATTTTATTCCAGAAGGTTTGTCTGAAAGCGTAATGACAACAAAAGCAGCAGATTTGAGAGATTCTCCCAGGAGAAGAAAAAGGACAGATGTACACAGACATATAGCTGAAAACATTGCCAGCAACAGCTGGGAAACTGACAGGCTCTGAAGTGGGTGACCACCCCACAGAGCGCAAAGGAACAGCAATTTTACTTGATTTACTTTTGACTTCCTAGACTACCTTTTATCTACCTTTTATACACCAAGGGGCAGGCTCCTGCGATCTTCCCTCACATAAAATGACAAGCCTCCTCTAGGTACGCTTTTTATAATATTACAGTAATTCCTTATATTTTACCCCCTTTTATCCTCACTGAATAAGATCTTTAAAAAGTGATATCCTTTATAAATTACACAAACATTACTATGCCGGACACTCCATAGTACTAAAAACAAAACAAAACAAAACAAAAACGGTTTGACTCAACCAGAAAAGCGCTATCTGCTCACAATATTAACACCCCCTTTCATGAGCTTCCCTGAGCACACTCACCTTGTCATCTTCATCCTCCTCTTCCTCTAAGTCTGTGCTCTCCTGAAAGGAAAAACCACAGTTGGTTAATATACCATCCCCTGAAATTACTAAATGCAAATTAAACCCATATACACTTTTTACGTTTTTTCTACATAATTGAAGCACTAGTGGTTTTTAAATACATTATAACTTCTTAAAAAATAATGCTTTTAAAGTTCAGGGACACTGTGGCAAGACTATAAGAAATATGCATAATCTACATAAAACTTCACTATAAATAAAGCTATTCGGAGAGTGCCCTTTGAAGGCATCCAGCTTTAAAAATGCATTGCCAGGTTACTTTCTGTAAACAGTTTGTTCTTATTCTGACAAATGAGCCAACTGCTATGTTAAGGCTAAGAACACCATACTCGGTTTGTGCTAGGCTCATTGTTATAATGACTGCTCTTTTCCTTTGGGGCCATTACTGAAGCATTAGACAGTAGGAAATGCATTAGTCTGAATATAATCAATCTCAAGAATAAGTTACAGGTTTCAGTACATTATTATTGTTTTCCTTGGGATTCGGGGAGGGGGTTGGGGGCAGGTGAGAGAAGCCAACTCAGGTTCTGATAGCCACTAACAGGCACCTGGCTTTAGTTTGGGGGCCAAAGCACCACCAGGTGCTGTGAATAGGCTTATTCAGATTGGTTTAGAAATCGTGACTTTTTACCAGGTAACTTTTAATTGTATCACTGCAATAGTTAAAAGCCAACACGGTCCAGGGCGGGTGGTCCGTAGCTCAGACAGAATGCTGAGTATTAGAAAACCAGAGTCTGTTTACAGCCTGAATGCTTACCTCTCTGCTCAACCACCTTGCAAGGTCAGGCATGCTGTTTAGATGCCATCTTTCCAGTAGTAAACAGAATTGTCAATATCATGTTCTTAAAGAAAGAGTAACTCTGAAGTATCCAGAGAGTACCCTGCTATACTCCATAAAACCACTGAGCAGTTACCAAGCAATTTCTCCAAGACCCGTACTCCATTACCTCCCAGAATTCCCATGAGCTGCAGCTAGCACTGTGTGGGACATTCCACGGATGCTGCAGAACTCACCTATTCACCGTTGGCAGCACACATGAAGGCAAATGGGTAAAAACACGTAATAAAAACACGTTATGGGAGGAAGAACATTGTAATTAGGAGTTAGAAGCCCAGCTTGGGACAAAGTCTTCAGCTTGGGACACTGGTCAAGCACATCTTGCTGTGTGACCTTGGGCAAATCACCTTGCCACTCTGGGCTTTACTTTCCTCAAGCATAAAATAGAAATGGTAATTCTTGCCTCCTTCATGGTTGTGTTATCAAGATTAAAATAGGTAATGAATTTGAAAGTGTTCTATAAATTAAAAATATTTTATACACACATTTATAAGCACATTCACTTAAGTATTCTTTTTATTTTTATTTTTTTATAAATTATGTTATGTTAGTCACCATGTAATCATCATTAGTTTTTGATGCAGTGATCCACGATTCGTTGTTTTCACATAACACCCAGTGCTCCATGCAATATGTGCCCTCCTTAATACCCATCACCGGGCTAACCCATCCCCCCATCCCCCTCCCCTCTAGAACCCTCAGTTTGTTTCTCAGTTTCTCATGGTTCATCTCTCCCTCCGATTCCCCCCTTCATTTTACCCTTCCTTCTCCTAATGTCCTCCATGCTATTAAGTATTCTTATGTACCCATATATACATGTATATATACCTGCCTACAAATGCACACACACCATGTATATAGCTGGAAAACTAAAATCTGATTGAAAATTGTAAAAATGTGAGTTGACAGCATTTTTTACTAAAGATGTTTCTCTGTGAAAATTTCCCTCATCCATATCTGTGTGTAACTTAGTCCTTAAACAATCCTGTACTTTAAAGCTATTTATTTGTTGGTTCTAGCATTGTTAGGTCCCTCATTATTGATATATGTCCATGCCTACTGCATTAAACAATCAAATATCAAACAGAATAAAATTTTGAATTTGCTTGAGGTTTTTACTCCCTGCCAAAAGACTCATTTTCTCTACTTCCCTTCTACCCCCAAACGATACCAGAACATCCCTTTAATGTCCATTATTTCAGAGATTTTTTAAAAAAAATAATAGCATTGTATGGAAAAATGGGTGAAGATCGTTATTAGCTTTTGAGTCTTGAGAAACCCAATGTGAAGGTCCTCTAATATCAAGTCTCAGAAACTTAGATTTTTGTTCTAAAAATTTGTTTCTTGAATCTGGAGGTCCAAGATAATACCATAAAGCAAGTCTACAAATACAAGTTCTTGTGCACCCAGACCAGGAAAAGATTCTCTGGGCTGGGATAAGTGGAAAAGGAGAAGCTGAGTCAGACAGTAAGTATGATAAGTAGATGCTAGGGGATGTCTTGCTTTTGCTTCCTTCAAGACCATGGGAAGCTTGAGATCTTCAGGACTTGGGCACCCCAAAATTGAGCTGTCTATGCCCGCCCGCTCTCTGATTTCTCTGGGAGTTGGCAAGCCTCTGAAGGCTTTAGGCGAGAAGTGAACACTGCACAGGATGTCTGGGTGGAGAGGCCTAAGGCAGCCTCCCAGATGCTTTCCATGCCCTGAAGGAGCTCAAGGAGATGCCAAAGGCTTTTTTCAGTGGTTGAGAATGTTATTCATAGGAACCTTACAGATAACCAGATGGGCACTGAAATATGCTGCCACCATGATAAAGATGACCAAGCACCAGAGGGCTCTCCTCATGCTAAGAATGTAGGCCAAGGCTCAGGAACATAACATAGAAGGATGACTCTGGGTTCTAACCCAATAAAAGATCCCCACTATCACATAAATGTATGTGCAATGTTGCTCTCCTCAAGTCTCAAACAAAGTGGACTTGGGTCATGATTTGGTGGTGGTTGGTTGTTGTTAACACATTTTTTTCCTCTGGTCAAATGTCACAATTACTGGAATCTTAGCTCACCTGGCTGTCCTGGATGCTACCAACCTTCCCTTTTGTGGGTGTGATGAAATTGTAGATGAAGAGTAGCAACAACGCCAGGGGGATCATGTACAGTTCAAAATTCCAGACAGTGACTAAAAATACCTGAGTGGAAGACAAGACAAAATAGTTGCTTGAAAAATCAGTATGGGAGTAATCTTAAAATCCTTTGTATTGACTTAAGGAAATTAAATCTAGGACACTCTACAGCAGCTTTTAGGAACAGCCAGGTTCACACACACACACACACGATTAACAGTTTTAGCATCGGCAGTAGAATGAGGAAGATATAGAAATGAGTAAACCAGTCACACTCTGAAATAGACAATATAGTAGCCTCATACCTGAAAATACCATTACCCCATCAACTGTATTCATTTTTTTGCCCCGAGACTTACCAGAATTTAGGAAAGTAGTATGGAAAAAATCCAAGGTCTCAGAGTTAGGCCACAGACCAAATTTTGCCAATAGTAAGGTTTACTGGAACTGCAGAGAGTGATTACTTTTCAAATTGGCTGCCAATGTTTAAAAATCCAAATAGTTCAGATAAAAACTTCAGATAGCCAAAGTCTCTTTAAAAATCTTAAAATTTTCCAATTTTGAGGCTGGATGGTCACAAGGAAATGATGGAATGCCTACATAAGACGAGGTATTTGCTTTACCTGCCCAACTGCTGTCAGCCTCTGTATTTGTGACCCTGTCCTACAAAAGGACAAGCAAGAGCTTGGGTTTGAATCCAAGTATCTATGTGACAATGGTCATGGGAGACATAAATGCAAATAAGACATGGCCCTACCTCCAAGGAATGTGGGACAAATAAAACAACCCATGATAATTACAACATGAGGCAAGAGTGAAATCATGGGGAAATGATTTCAAAACTTGAGCCTCACTGTCTTTTCCAATTCACAGGAGATCCAGAGGATGAAAAAAAGACGATTTGTGGTTATTGGCTGTTAGCGCTTTTAAGTGCTTGAAAAAGTCACTTGTTTACATCAACTTAGAAGAGGCAACTTACTGCATCTTAAATACTGAATCTTCCTTTCTCAAAGCAATATTGTTTTACTTATTACTAAAAATATTTTATACCATGCTAATATCTACAAAAGTTTTACTTTGTAGATATTATATGTATTTCCTGCTTTTTTTGTTTGCTAAATTTAATCATTTCTCCCATTATATATTTCAAGCAGATAAATAAAATCTAATAATTTGTACGTATTAATTTTTTTAATTTGTAACTTTACTGAATTTTCTTACTACTTCATATAGCCTTTTATTTCACTTTTGGGGGGTTTCTAAGAATATAGTCATACAATCTACAAATAAAGAACTGCTCCTATTTCCTCTCGTCTAGTATCTATAACTTAATTTCTAATATGTATACTTACTTTCATTACTACTAACTAAACAATTTTAAATAAAAACGTTGAGAGGGATATTGTCTAACTCCTGAATTTTACAAAAATGCTTCTACTGTTTTACAATTAAGCATGACATTGACTTTTAGTTTGAGCTATATAAATCATTTTGTATTAAGAATATGCAGATCCGGAGG